CAGCCACTGGTTGAACAGTGGTAAAAAAGAAGCCAAACAGTGGTAGAGAAAAATGATGTAATTCCCAGCCACTGGTTGAACAGTGGTAGAGTTGTAATTCCCAGCCACTGGTTGAACAGTGGTAGAAAAATGATGTAATTCCCAGCCACTGGTTGAACAGTGGTAGAGAAAAATGAAATTCCCAGCCACTGGTTGAACAGTGGTAGAGAAAAATGATGTAATGCCCAGCCACTGGTTGAACAGTGGTAGAAAAATGATGTAATGCCCAGCCACTGGTTGAACAGTGGTAGAAAAAATGACGTAATGCCCAGCCACTGGTTGAACAGTGGTAGAGAAAAATGATGTAATGCCCAGCCACTGGTTGAACAGTGGTAGAGATGTAATTCCCAGCCAAAAGTGGTAGAAAAAATGTAATTCCCAGCCACTGGTTGAACAGTGGTAGAGAAAAAAAAGCCACTGGTTGAACAGTGGTAGAGAAAAAATAATCCCAGCCACTGGATTTGAACAGTGGTAGAAAAATGATGTAATTCCAGCCACTGGTTGAACAGTGGTAGAGAAAAAATGTAATTCCCAGCCACTGGTTGAACAGTGGTGCCCAGCCACTGGTTGAACAGTGGTAGAGAAAAAAAAATTCCCAGCCACTGGTTACAGTGGTAGAAAAAATGATGTAATGCCCAGCCACTGGTTGAACAGTGGAGAAAAAAATGATGATACCCAGCCAGAATAAAGCCACTGGTTGAACAGTGGTAGAGAAAAAATGATGTAATTCCCAGCCACTGGTTGAACAGTGGTAGAAAAATGATGTAATTCCAGCCACTGGTTGAACAGTGGTAGAGAAAAAAAGCGACTGGTTGAACAGTGGTAATTCCCAGCCACTGGTTGAACAGTGGTAGAGAAAAATGACGTAATGCCCAGCCACTGGTTGGTAATTCCCAGCCACTGGTTGAACAGTGGTAGAGAAAAATGATGTAATTCCCAGCCACTGGTTGAACAGTGGTAGAGAAAAATGATGTAATTCCCAGCCACTGGTTGAACAGTGGTAGAGAAAAATGACGTAATGCCCAGCCACTGGTTGAACAGTGGTGACGTAATGCCCAGCCACTGGTTGAACAGTGGTAGAAAAATGACGTAATGCCCAGCCACTGGTTGAACAGTGGGAAAATGATGAAGCCACTGGTTGAACAGTGGTAGAGAAAAATGACGTAATTCCCAGCCACTGGTTGAACAGTGGTAGAGAAAAATGACGTAATTCCCAGCCACTGGTTGAACAGTAGAGAAAAATGACGTAATTCCCAGCCACTGGTTGAACAGTGGTAGAGAAAAAAATGCCAGCCACTGGTTGAACAGTGGTAAGGAAAAAATGTAATTCCCAGCCACTGGTTGAACAGTGGTAGAGAAAAATGATGTAATTCCCAGCCACTGGTTGAACAGTGGTAGAGAAAAAATGACGTAATGCCCAGCCACTGGTTGAACAGTGGTGGAGAAAAATGATGTAATTCCCAGCCACTGGTTGAACAGTGGTAGAGAAAAATGATGTAATTCCAGCCACTGGTTGAACAGTGGTAGAGAAAAAAAAAAATGAACAGTGGTAGAAAAAATGTAATTCCCAGCCACTGGTTGAACAGTGGTAGAAAAATGATGTAAAGCCACTGGTTGAACAGTGGTAGAGAAAAATGTAATTCCCAGCCACTGGTTGAACAGTGGTAGAGAAAAAACGTAATGCCCAGCCACTGGTTGAACAGTGGTAGAGAAAAATGATGTAATTCCCAGCCACTGGTTGAACAGTGGTAGAAAAATGATGTAATTCCCAGCCACTGGTTGAACAGTGGTAGAGAAAAAATGATGTAATTCCCAGCCACTGGTTGAACACGAGAAAAATGATGTAATTCCCAGCCCTGGTTGAACAGTGGTGGCCACTGGTTGAACAGTGGTAGAAAAATGATGTAATTCCCAGCCACTGGTTGAACAGTGGTAGAGAAAAATGACGTAAAGCCACTGGTTGAACAGTGGTGAGAAAAATGATGTCCCAGCCACTGGTTGAACAGTGGTAGAAAAATGATGTAATTCCCAGCCACTGGTTGAACAGTGGTAGAAAAATGATGTAACAGTGGTTGAACAGTGGAGAAAATGATGTAATTCCCAGCCACTGGTTGAACAGTGGTAGAAAAAAAAATGCCCAGCCACTGGTTGAACAGTGGTAGAGAAAAATGATGTAATGCCCAGCCACTGGTTGAACAGAAAAATGATAATTCCAGCCACTGGTTGAACAGTGGAGAAAAATGATGTAATTCCTGGTTGAACAGCCACTGGTGGTGAGCCACTGGTTGAACAGTGGTAGAAAAAATGATGTAATTCCCAGCCACTGGTTGAACAGTGGTAGAAAAATGACGTAATGCCCAGCCACTGGTTGAACAGTGGTAAAGAAAAATGATGTAATTCCCAGCCACTGGTTGAACAGTGGTAGAGAAAAATGATGTAATAGCCACTGGTTGAACAGTGGTAGAGAAAATGATGTAATTCCAGCCACTGGTTGAACAGTGGTAGAGAAAAATGAAAAACTGGTTGAACAGTGGTAGAGAAAAACGACGTAATGCAGCCACTGGTTGGTGGAAAAATGACGTAATGCCCAGCCACTGGTTGAACAGTGGTAGAGAAAAATGATGTAATTCCCAGCCACTGGTTGAACAGTGGTAGAGAAAAATGACGTAATGCCCAGCCACTGGTTGAACAGTGGTAGAGAAAAATGATGTAATTCCCAGCCACTGGTTGAACAGTGGTAGAGAAAAATGATGTAATTCCCAGCCACTGGTTGAACAGTGGAAAAAATGACGTAATGCCCAGCCACTGGATTTGAACAGTCAAAAAAATAAAAGTGGTTGAACAGTGGTAGAGAAAAAATTCCAGCCACTGGTTGAACAGTGAGAAAAAGACGTAAAAAGCCACTGGTTGAACAGTGGTAGAGAAAAATTAATGCCCAGCCACTGGTTGAACAGTGGTAGAAAAATAAATGCCCAGCCACTGGTTGAACAGTGGTGAGAAAAATGACGTAGTGCCCAGCCACTGGTTGAACAGTGGTAGAGAAAATCGTAATGCCCAGCCACTGGTTGAACAGTGGTAGAGAAAAATGAAATGCCCAGCCACTGGTTGAACAGTGGTAGAGAAAAAAAACGTAATGCCCAGCCACTGGTTGAACAGTGGTAGAGAAAAATGACGTAGTGCCCAGCCACTGGTTGAACAGTGGTAGAGAAAAATGACTTAATTCCCAGCCACTGGTTGAACAGTGGTAGAGAAAAATGACTTAATGCCCAGTGACCAGTTGAACAGTGGATAAACACTTGTAACTATTTTTATATCTACCGTGAAACATGACATTCCAATTATTTGCAAATTTTGACTCAAGAGTTCAGGCAGAAGAGTTAAAATTGTTCAGGAATGCAGGGCTCAAAGGATTAAATAAGTGGATTAACAGAAATCTATTGCATAATAGTGATGATGCATCTGATTGTATTTATGCCAGTTAGTATTAAGGACAAAGGGTAGAAATGATGAAAAGTTAGCCATGCTGTCTACTTCCTGCCGTAGAATGGATGGCTTGTATAAAGTCGTTTTAAAAAACACTAAAAAATTAAGATAAAACTAAATACTAGTAAAAAATTAATAAAAACATTGTAAAATTTTACAATAAAATAGTTTTGAGAGTTGTACACATTTAATTGCAGACATTAATAACTGGAAAAAATGGCTATACGTACTTTGTGCGTAGAAGACAAGGAAAAGAGAAAGTCCAACAATAGCAACCCAGGAGAATGAAATCGGGCAATAATCATAAGCCCAGGTGAAGTATGAATGTGGAAGGGTAGTAAAATTACATGCAGCATTAGCTGAATGCATTGATACAAAGGAAATTGGAAGACAGGCACCATTCATATCATTATTTGTAGTTTCAAAGCAAAAACCACAGAAATTGTCATGGATACAGGCATCACAGGAGCTAGAAAAGAAAGAACTCAAGTTAGGAATCCATTAAAATACGCAATCATTTTGGAAATTATGATTAATTTTTGATGAGCTTTGTTTTTGTTGCTTTCTATTGTGCTATTCAGGTCTTTTTAGATTTCTAATACACAGTGCTTATTTAGTGGTCACACAATGGAAACACTTCTGTGTTCATATAATCTTTTATTTAAATGCCTTAATGTTTCTCAAATATGTTATTTGGTAGAGTTATGCCTGTCTGTTCTTAGAGTTTTTATGTAGACTCATGAGAAGGCAAATTGAAATTACTAATGAAAAATGAATCTGTGAATATGAAAGGATCCTATCAATAATAAGTAGACAGAACATGTCAAAATTATTTAACAAAACCTGCCTTAATATATTATGTTTACATTATTCGGACTATTGTCCTCATTCTTGTTTTGGCCTTCTTCAGGTGGTTGGAATGTCTTTGTTTTGCTCACTGGGGTAGATTGTTCTAGTTCAACGTGCCATGTCTAATGGATGTCAGTTATCAGTTATCTCCTGCTAATTTCCCTTTCTAAGTTCTCCACTGCCATAACCAGCTTAACCAGGTATTGAACTCAAATCTTTTGGGTCCTGGATCTAACCAACACCTTTATCCACTGTGCCATGTATCTTAAGGACATCTGTGTATGAATTTCTGGGACTTATAAACTTAATTTCTTCAGTAACAACTTTTTTACCAGTGCTCATATGACAGTTATTGCTGACAAAAGCTGTTTTCACATTTACAATAAGCATCAAAATAATTGTTCTAAGTAACATGCTTAATTGAAATAAGTGTTGCATAATTTGTTGCATTTTTAATAAATTTCATCATTAACGACTTGGCTGACAAGATATCTTACAAAAACTTTCTTGGTCTCACAAAAAGAGCACAAAATATCCTGTCCCAAATGGTTAATAGTGACATGTTTTCTTTTTTAATTTTTAAATACAAAAAATAACTTTTGCTTTGTGAAGGAATGAGTATTCATCACTTACGTGTATGCAGAACAAGAATTGTTCTGAATATTTGCAGTGGTATTCACACTTGGTGAGTAAAGATAAGCAAAGAGAAATGTAGTTGCAATGCAGCTACTACTAAATGCAAGACCTGCAAAGAAAAACAAAATCTGTTTTACAGTTTTCATAAGATAAAAAATGATAATAATTATGGCAAAAACACAATTACTCTCCACCAACTAGTCATATAAGTAAAAGTTGGAATGTTTTATTATCCCACACTAAAAACAAACATTTCCAATTTTCAATAACAGGAGAGAAAAAATTAGATTAATTTTTAAAAAAATTTTTTTGCTGACTGTAAACTCAATTTGTTTGAGGTCAAATTTTAACAACAATTTGAACTTAGAAAGTTAAAATATTTCAACCTTTCTCCCAAATGGTATCATTTTAGTTGGGTTCCTAATTAGTAGCTAGACTTTTGCTGAAGAAGTGAATAATGCAGTCAAAAGTTTGAAATAAGAAAAATTAGCAATATAGAATTTCTTTTGTTGCCAACTACACCATATTCTAAATAGGAAGGAAAGTTTAACATGTTAAGTTTAATTTGTTAGAAAGAGGCATAAGACTAGAATGTCTCTTCTCACAAAGATATGCAAATGATGCAGTGTTGAAAGTAGACAAAGAAAGTGTGGAGATAAATACATCTCTCCAGAATATGACTTGGACTCCTCCAAACAGCATATATATAAATATATATACACTGAAGCCAAGAACTGTCAGGAGAGAGCTAACCAGCGTTGAGCCTTATATCCTTACTACAGAATTTTGTAAGAATATGTCGACTCCAAGTGACATTATATTTTATGATTGTGTTATCTTTATTCAATGGAATGAAGACATAACAGTGGTGATGAGGATTTAAATTCACATGAAAAAGGAAAAAACATTTCTCTTGCTTAGCATAAATAGCTGGCAAAGAAAATTCAAAATTCACAGAAAAGAATTTTGTGGAGTTTATGTATATTCATACAGTAATGCAGAAGTTTATAAATTTCAAGGATGTATGACATACTGCTATTAGGAAAAAAATTTTTTTTTCGTCCTACTTGAGGATTACTTTTATGAAAATAATACACGATGGAAGAATTGAAAATAATTATTCAGCAGCTATTACAACAAATGCAGTGGGAGCTGATTGAATATTGAGAACAGTTGAAGATAATCATGAAAAAGCAAGGAACAGGCAATCCATCAATTTAATTTTCACTGGGCTCAGTCGCTAACTCAGTGAATTTAATTACATCCCAGAAGAAAACATTACATTCCTATCATACTTCAGATAGCACAAGACCATTTTCAGAGAAAAATATCAAGGATGGTTATATGAAAAGAAAGTATGTCTTCTGTTACAAAAATTGTACCCTACTAAACATGAAAAATATATAAAGTTCATTTTGCCAAATACTCTAGAAAAAGTGTCATTTAACAAAACAGTGTCAGTATTATCAAAAATTTTTGGTGAAAAGCAGCAAGTAAAAAATATACGCATATTAACTTGATGAAAGTAGTGCTATCAGCTAAAAAAAAATGGAAAGTTCAAATAATAGAAAATTTATAACAGTAAAAATGAATAATGCTACAGTAAGATTTCATTTGGACAATTATTGATGAACAAACTTAGAACAGAATTGGCAAGCCTAACTTGAAAAGTACCAACAAAGTTGTAAGAGGAATATTAGGTAAGAAATTAACTTTTTCTTGGGAAAATTATGTGTAACATCACTCTTGTGGGTAAAACTCTAAAAGCAGATGTTTACATATTAAAAAATTTCAACTCAAATTTACTAGGCATCGATTAGTTAGAGTTATTTGAACTACAGAATTGACCAATTAATTCATTCTGTGGAAAAAGATTACAGCTAAAGAAATGCTGAGTAAACTAAAAAATAACTTCACAAATATTTTCTCAGAAGAATTGGGAAAATGTCCAAAGTCAAAGGCATTTTTCAAACTAAAAGAAAATGTGATACCAGTTTTTAAGCCTAAAAGAAAGATACCCTTTGCTGCATTGGAGTCTATTAACACTGAACTTGATAGGTTAGAAAACCACAGAGTTATTGAAAAAATAAATTATTCAGAATGGGCCATGGCAGTGGTTTATATTAGAAAGAAAAATTTGTTTATGTGCTTATTTTCCAACTGGGTTGAATGACTGCCACCTATCACATGTATATATCCTCTAACAACTTCAAAATGTTAAATAATAGTTTCAGGCGATTATTTTTCAGTGGAGCTGATAAAGTGATCATACTGACTAGTTAAAAATGTTGACATTTTATTAAAATAGAGAAGTTCACAATTCCCTTTGTTGATGTCTCATTTTACCCCCAAACAAACCAGCTAGTGATCACCTGGCCGGAATATGGCAGAAAGAAGTAAGCAACATATAAGTGAATCAAGACTGTTGCCTAAAACACCCCCAGCATGACAGAGGTATACAATACAGAGAATATATTTGCCAAATTAAATGGTGGTAAATTTTTTTTCAAAAAATAACCTGTCTGAGGCATATCTTCAAATCAAAGTGAATGAGGAATGCCAAAAGTATTTGACTATTAATACATATAAAGGAGTCTAAGATTACCCCTTAGTGTAAAAGTAGCCCCAGGTATTTCCCAGCAAATAATGGATATGATGATGGTTGGACTAGACATTGCCATTACTTACATAGATGATATGCTTATTAAGAGTACTATGAAAATACAGCACATAAAACTAATTCAGCAAGTATTTCAGAGACTGCATGATTATGGTTTTAAACTCAGTGAACAGAAATGTCAGTTCTTTATGAATAAGATTAAATATTTAGGTCAGATAATTGATGAAAAAGGAAGAAGACCAGATCCCACTAGAGCAATGCCATTTAAGACATGCCTCCCTGGAAAATTTGGTGGCCCTGCAATCATTTCTCAGATTAGCAAATTATTATAACTATGTGACAAATATGTAGAAATTGCAAGCACCTCCAAATAATTTACTTAAGAAGGGTAAGAAATGGTATTGGTTGTTGGAATGTCAAAAAGCTTTTAAAGGAATTAAAAAACTACTAACTTATGATTTCAAGATAGAATTTCTATCATCAGAAAAATTGGGACATGCAGATGGCTTGTCCAGATTGATATCAAAATGTAAAGAAGATTTTGAAGATACTGTGATTGCTTTACTGGAATCTAAAAGTGAAATTAAAAGACTTGTGTGTAACACTATTAAAGAATTGCCAGTCATGATAGACAATTTTAAAATTCATTCTAAAAAGATTACATTTATTAAAAAAACTATAAATGACGTTAAGTGGAAATGAAGTAAAACTAAAATTAAATCTGGTAACAATAATACAAAATTTTCTATTTGTGATGGAATACTTTTGTATGCACAAAGAGTAGTAATTCTATTATCACTACAATAAAGGATTTTAAAACAGTTCTACGTGGACATCCAGGAATAGTGAAAATGAAGTCCTTGATGAGAAGCTGCGTGTATTGGCCAAAATTGGGCAAAGATATTTAAAATACAGTTAGAAAATGTAATGGTTGTAATTCAGCAGCAAAATAACCACCTATAAATTATCATGCATGGCCAAGCACTGATAAACTGTGGGAAAGATTACGTATGGACTTTGCTGGACCACTAAACTGTTTATACTATTTAATTGTGGTCAAGAATTTCACAAAATGGCCAGAGATATTTAAGTGTAAATGACTTACTACTGCAATAATGATTAAATTCTTATGCAAACGTTTTGCAAAGTTTGGGGTACCTGATAGTGTGATATCTGATAATGGAACTCAATTTACTTCTAGTGAATTTAAAAATTTCTGCACAAATTACATGGTTGAACATTTGACAACACCGATTTATCATCCAAGGTTGAATGGTCAAGTTGAGCAGTTTTTTGACATCTTCAAAAGGGCGCTAAGAAAAGCTAAAGGTTTAGAAGCTGAAGAAATGGTAATACAAGAATTTTTGATTGCATATCAAATGATGTCAAATGCAAATGTCACTGTCAAAACTGTCCACTACAGAGCTCATGTTTGCTAGGAAAGTTAAATCTATTTTTGACAAATTACTGCCAGGTAATAAAAAAAAAATTTGACAATTTGAAACTACCAGATCATTTAAGATCAGCAATAAAGTCTTCTTTAAAAGCTTTATGGCTGGAAAGGAAAATTGGCAGGAAGAAAAAATTATTCAACGCCTTGGTAGTATGATGTACATGATTACAATATAGAAAACATAAATCAACTGAGGTCTAGATATGGTCAGAATAAGCAACCAGTACAGTTTAATTCACCAATGAGCATCCTTTACAATACCCTTGAAGTACCTATTCCAAAAACTAATATTACAATACAAAAGCAGGGTAAGTGAAAACGTAATTCAATGAAACGTTGGAAGTGGATCCATATTGGAAAAAGTATCAAGCTAAAGAAAGTGCATATCTAAAAAGTGGGATGTTGTGGAGATGAATACACCTCTCCAGAATAAGACTTGGACTTGTCCAAATACCATATATATTGACGCTGAGAATTGTCAGGAGAGAGAGCTAGCCCTTAATATAGAATTCAGTAAGACTCCAACCTACATTATATTTCATGATTGTGTTATCTTCATTCAATGGAATTAAGACAAAGCAGACAGGAAACTACAGGAACTCCTACAGAAGGTAGTAAAAAAAATGTGAAAAGAAAGTACTAAACATCAATTGAAAGAAAACAAAATGTATGGTTGTCAGTAAAAGGAACAGCCCAACATGCAAACTACAAATTGGAGATATAAGCGTCAAACAAGTACAATAATTTAAATGTCTTGGTAGCATTTTAATAGAGGAGAGAAATCCAAAGGTCCACTGGAATAGCAAATGTTGACTTCCAAAAGTTAAGCAAAGTATTAAGAAACAAGAAAATATTTTTAGAAGCAAAGAAAAGAATACTTTTATGTAATATTGGTCCTCCTTTGGTCCTGGCAAAGAGGTAGACTGAGCTTCTACACAAGGATGTTAAGAATATCATGGACTGATGAAGGACATGAGAAATTACAATGTTTTAAGGAAAATGAAAATGACACTTATACTTAGAATCAGAAAGAGAC